TAATCATGCTTACTCATTTATGTTCTTTGTTTATATGATTTTTAGTCAACTGATATATATATATATATATATGCAAATGTGTAATTACATTAAATTATTCATATCGGTTGTGAGAGCTGCTCATTTATCCGTATCATATTTTATGATAATGCAAAAAAACATGTGGATTAAAAAAAAACATTTTTATTTTCTTTTTCTCTTATATATTGCAATACTTCTACGTGGACTGAACTAGAGTAGATGGAGTTAACGATCCAGTAAACTACAAAACATATCTGAGTAGAAACGATATATTTACCAAATTCAATGGCATAATACTTCCTTGTGGAATTTTTGTTACTTCAAAATTACGATAATCTTCGAAAAGATTTATCAATTAATATCCAAGTAATTGTCAAAAAGATTATAGACTTAATGGAAAAGATTTTTTCAAATCAGCAGAATGACTATTGGATATTGTTGAAAAATGGTTCTTGTCTTTGTTGATTGGATCCCCTCGTTTTCAACAACAACGTTACATAGAAATAACCTACGAATACGGAAATGGGTAATTCATGAAAACATTCTATCATTACAGCGAACTCGTTGAAATCGTGTCAAACTTTCAGCATTTGTAGAGTTTTTTTCGCTGATCATTTTGACTACAAAAAAAGTTTAGACTAGCACTGAAAATGGTCGAGAACGATTTGAATACTACATAAGGCTTTTTATCAGAAAATCATACTACTATAATGCATAGTTTTGTAGTTTTTTATCATTATCACATTTTAATCAAATTATGATAAAATCTCACCCGTAGAATATTTTAGCCCATGTGAAACTGCATCGGAATATGTATCATTAAAAAATATTTTCAAAGCGCAATATGTGTCCCCACGGCTCACTGGATTGATGAGAAGTGATGAACAATGTCACTAAAAATCATAAGCAAATTTGGAATTCCTGGAATTGGTGGTATATAGGAATTGATAAAGTCGAAGCTGTTCTATCGAACCTTATAGTTTGCTTTTTATGGAAATAAGATTTGAGTATAAGAAAAAGACCAGAGAAAAAGAGTGCTTTTTCGGTGGGATATTTGCATGAGATCTCAACAACAATGTACAGAAAATGATTTCTAACATGATAAATAAAATATATAAAACATAATGTGGAGAAGCTCTTTTCTCATATTCTACAAACGAAAATAACAAGATCTTCCATGAGAACGTGGAAAGAAGACAAAAAAAGCAAGACATTCAAAAGAAGATGCACTGGAAGAATTATGCTGGTAGGCTGATGGGATATCTATCGCATATTTAGAGCATTTCACAATGTACTCTCTCTCTCTTGTTGAATCTCCGGCGAGGTCCTCAAAACTTCTGAGATCCTTAGTAAATCATCAGAAAATGTATCAGCCAATGCAATAATTTATTGACCATTTTACTTTACATCTATAGAAAAGTATATAGAATAATGACGATTCAAAAGATTTAATTCTCTTTCATAAAATAGTTTTCTTTTATTAATGACAAGTATATTTTTGGTGTCTGTCTGTCCTTCCTTAGCCTCCAATTGTCGTTTCAACGTCAATTAAGTCTGTTGAAACTATAACTTCAACTATTTTATGCTTATTCCAAAAGCAGAGTGAGTCTCTGCAAACTTTTTCACAAATCTCTGATGAATTCCTGTGGTGATTTCCCTGAAAATTTGTCAGGAAGCATCAACTAGGTTGTCTTCGATTTCAATTACACATATTGTTCATCGTTTATTTGCAATGAGTGTTTGTCGATATTCTCCTAATTTGCGATGTTTCTTTTAGCCTATCGAATTTAATAAATGTCTAGCGGCAAAATACAGAAGAATCAAAGACCAATTTTTGATCGAAACTACATGATTGACAAATTTACGCAGAATTAATTTATGGAATAGCTAGATGTTGACAATGTCTTATTCATATATTAAACAATTCATAATCGTCGGCAAAAATCCCAAAAATAACAGAAAAATGTAGAATAATCTTTTGTTTGCGATTAGATATGGAGTGTGGGTGTGTGGGTGTGACTGTGGGTGTGGTTCATTGCTTCAATGACATCCACACCCCACCCTCAAGATAATATCTAAGTAGCAAAAAATGCTGGAATCTCATATAATTAAATGTACATTGATCAAACGACAGATTTAAAATTAAAAACAAACTCCAAAACGAACTATTGACATTATTAAAATAAAATTCTCAATTTAATACACATGAAAATACTAGAAAAAGAACAATCCATTTGTTTCAAAATCATCTAGAACTTGCTTTTTTTTTAAAACAAATGAATATGCCAAATGTATTGAAAATTTCAAATTTTTTTCTCTAATTATTTAATCTTTTATGAATTGATAATAAGCAAAAAGTAATAATAATAAAAGAAAAATAATTGATATTAATATTGAATAATTCCATGGCAACACTTTGCTAATCTTGATCAAAGGAAAAGATATTTTATTCTGTCTTAAGAATATTTTTCACATAAAGACAATGAACGAACCAAGAATTTCTAACGATCAATTGTACGGAGAAATAAATCCTTAATGCCTTTATTTAAATAATTTTCGTTTGTACTCATATAAAGACGTGAAATGATTTAATAATGGTAATCTACATAAATGTAATTTGAATTAAAAAAGAATGCTTTAAGAATTATTAATATCAAGGTAAAGTTCTATTTTCTTAAAATAAAATTGTTGGATTAACAATTTTCGACACAAAGCATCATGCGTCTTACTTAGAAGAATCAATAAACAATATTTGTTGAAACAATCTTTCAAATGTTTTTTTTTCCATAAAATTCTTTTGGAAACTCAAACTGAAGAAAGTTTTGATTTGTTAATTCCTATTGCTTTCAGAAAATAATAGTAATGTTTAATGGTATATAGATAAGAAAAGCATTTGTCGATTAATCTCAAATGTTTTATTTCGATTTCTAAGCTTTGATAAATGTGTGATAGAGCATAATGAAACATTTTCTACAAAAGAAAATTTAATTAAGAGGATAGATGTTTTGAAATATGTTCTCTCCAGTTTCATATTTCAGAATTAAAAATTAAAGTGACATGAAAATAAATAATTTTATTGTTTTTTTTTAAATATTGATTTTGATCTAATTCATTCAAAAACTTTTCCTTCAAAGATTCATCATTTAATCTTGAAAGCTTTGGGTACTCGTGAGAGAATGAACCTTCTATTTCTAACTATCACACATCCTATTCCCACTTATATTCACCATTGATACCCTCTAACAGTTATCAATGTGGTCTCAAATCAGAAAAAATTCAAAATGTTTTCAATAGATTTCTTGCTTATGAATCGTTATATCCTAAATTTCTATTAGCTGAAGATGATGAAACTTGATTCAGATATGTTAAAACTGTACAAACATTTCTCTGCTTATAGGTTTATTTATTAGAAAAATTGTAATGCATACATTTCAGAAAAGTGCTTAGTAGAACTTGACATTTGTTTTCTATTTTATTTGAATCCATAAAAAGTTGCAATATCCAACAGTTATACTTATGAGTGTCAATATTTACGATTTTTCGACCCATCATTAATCATTATAGCGTCTATGTATATTATCGTATATTTTTTCTTTCAATCGTTCTTCTATATCTTTTGGATGCGCTTATCAGAAAAGGGTCGGAGAAAAAATGATGATGACAACAGAACGAGATAAAGGAAAAAGAAAAAAAAAGTATTTTATTGTGGTAAATACGAGTAGCATAGCATAGACATCGTTCTCTTTTATTTTTATTGGACAAAATCAATAGCATCAACTCGTGATCATAAAATAAAGATAACGAAAATAAGTTTTGTGTTATAAGGTATACAAAATGTTATTTCGCTTGTTTCATAAATTTTCAGTTATCTAGTGATATGATGCAAATAGAGGAAGACTACATTCATTACAGATTTAGATTATCGTGTTTTGAGAATTAGCTGTTTTGATGATTTAAAAAATCGATATACTTTACATTAAGTAAAGATAGAAATCATTGTAAATCACAAAAAAAATATTACTAATAAGATAATAATCAAAAGCTGTGAGATCTATAGATTTCTAATGATTTATATTAATTTTTTTGTCTTTCGATAATGTCCATAATTCTTATGTGTTGCTTCTGTTTGTTTATGATTTCTAAGCTTTTCCAATAGAATCAACAACCAATCAATAGTTTGTTGTTATCTCATAGTATTTCCATTGTTTGGACTTGAGTTTAATGTCTAAAATATGTAGCACGTAATTCTGTATCAAACAGTATAATTTACACAATTAATAGATTTTCTTCTCTTTCGAGGAGATAGTTTTTCGTATGGAATCTCCTAATGAGTTCCTTACTGTAAACATAGAACAGTTTGTATAATTCTGAATTATTGCAAGTAGAAACAAAGAAAACAATATAAATATTAGCGAGTAAAAATAATTCTTGTTATATACATACGTTTTAGCTTCTTATTCTCGTTCAAATCAGTTTATAGGAAGTCTCATATAACTGGAATGAAGATACGATACACTGGACTCATATAGATATTTATCGAGTACATCCAGTTTCTTTTTAAAAACATTTCTTGATATTAACTAAAGTATGTATCAAATAGTAATGCATTCGAAGCTTTGACAGCAGTATCTTGTGAATCGCACTTTATCCGCCATACCAGGTATATAATATTTAGCACAAGAGAGAACTTAAGTCCACCATCGAACATGATCAGAGGTCAGAAAATGATATATACATGTCTCAACATGTTTCAGAAAAATTGCGTTTCATAGTTACATTTGAAGAATGAATCAATATATAAAACATGTTTAAAACTATTTAGTACTTAAAATTGATAAACAAACTTCTATACATTGAGTGAACTGTATCACTCACAGAAGATAAATGTTTACACCAATATATATATTAAGCAATATTCTGTTATTTTATTATCATTCTAGATCTCTTTTTAGATTGAAATCGTTTCTTTTTTTTTATTCATGACTGTATTGTCATTCGAAATCGAAACGGATTCTAACGATGAGATTACCGAACTAATAGGAAATGTAACTACTGATAATCTCCGGAGTGGTCTTGAAAAATGCACTGGACTGCGTAGTTGGACACCAGATTATGCGCCTATTCTTAAAGTGATAACCGGACCACTATCTATCAATGAAACAGAAGAAAAAATACATTGGTTGAATGCTGAAATTCATCGGCGCCATCTTGGTAAGGGCCAAACTACTCAACAAAATAAAGATCTCGCAACTAAAATAAGATCTCGTGGTAAGCCAGGTGATGACTGCGGTCATATCATAGCTGCTTCACTTGGTGGCAAAATGGTAGATTTTAATTTGTTTCCACAGACTCGTTTTATTAATCGAGGACAGTATGGTTGGGGTAAATTTTGGAGGAAAGCAATCGAATTAAAAGCTTACTCATAGTTGACAAACAAAAACATTGACAAAGCGAGTGTCGAATTTGAAGTTCGTTTATTTTATGATGATATGGAATACAAAGATCGACCTTCAGGTGGAAAAATTTTAATTACATTTAAAGGTGATCGAATGAAGAAATCTGGTATACATAATAGCAACCAAAATGAACAAAGTTCAAGTTCATTATATGCCACTTTGAAAGGCAAATTAATTAACTTAATTAAAGATGAATCATAAACACCTGGCGAACCTAATTTCGAAATAACCAATGCGGAAATTTTTTCAGAATGGTGTTCTCTTAATGATAGAGAACTTATGGATCTTTTCGTGGAACTTCTTCAAGAGCTATCCAGAGGAAAATCGATGAATACTTTAGAATCACAAGGAACACTAACCACTACAGCAAGGAAAATCAAGTCATAAGCAGTTTTTTTCACTTCAGATGTGAATGGAGATAAAGCGAAAAAACAGTATTCGCTACAGTGACAGCTATGCACATCCTGTATCAGCAAAATCAAAGTTATATTAATGCTTTTTATTCTGATTAAATAAAAATGATTTATTGCTTTCTTTCTGTAACTCAATGACTGTCCATGTTCATCGTCCATACCTTACGAAATATCGTTCACAATACAATTATTTTCTGTCATGTAACAGAACGAACCCTAATTTTGATTGACATTATTATTTTGAACATTTCGTAGAATATAGGTTGTAATGCTTAAACACAATTAGAAATCATTCATAATGATCAATTTTATTACATTTATTCTTATTGCAGACAATCAAAATTGGAAAAATTCAAGTCGAATGTGAATGTCGGTATGGGTGCAGGTGTAGATAAATAGTAAATCAAGTTCATACATTGACAACCTATACAAATAAATAGGCTTGTAACTATTAAGAAAGAATTTATTAAACTGCGATTTCGAAGAAAAAGTTACAAAAAAATGTGACAAGTTTTTTTCTTTTTATTGTACGTGATCAATCATTTTCTTTTCTCTACGGAGTAGAGAAAGAAAAGTCGTGTTTTTTATTTTTCCGCTTCGAGCAACACAATTGAGAGTGTAGGAAGTCAAGAAAGCAAACATTGTTTTCTCACTTCTTCTAATAGCATCGTCGAAACTGCTATGTGTTACATGTGGCAAAGCTCGTGTCATTTATAAATGTAAAGGATACACACTTTTATAACCATTGCAGATCACTGAAACAACAACTTGATCTTGTTGTTGATGAACGTAATAACTTTCAAAGCATAATGATTGATAATCAATGTTCATAGAGATCTCTATTCAATCAAATTGACCTATGGGACAATAGTGTCAGACTGGAAACTTGAATTCAATTGAAACAGTCCCATTGAATTTTTAGCTTCTAAGTTTATTTTTCAGGTTGGGTGTGGGTGTGAGTATTCGTGTATTTTTCTCCTTGATTCAACCTATACTCATACCATTCACACCTACACCTACATCCTCACCCTCAAATCATGAAATCCTTGGAA